ATACCAACTGACGTCACACACACCAACTGACGTCACACACACCAACTGATGTCACACACACCTACTGATGTCACACACACCAACTGATGTCACACACACCAACTGACGTTACACACACCAACTGACGTCACACACACCTACTGATGTCACACACACCAACTGACGTCACACACACCAACTGACGTCACACACACCAACTGACGTCACACATACCAACTGACATCAAACACACCAACTGACACACACATACCAACTGACGTCACACACACCAACTGACGTCACACACACCAACTGATGTCACACACACCTACTTACGTCACACACACCAACTGACGTCACACACACACCAACTGACATCATACACACCAACTGACACACACATACCAACTGACGTCACACACACCAACTGACGTCACACACACCAACTGACGTCACACACACCAACTGACGTCACACATACCAACTGACGTCACACATACCAACTGACATCACACACACCAACTGACACACACATACCAACTGACGTCACACACACCAACTGACGTCACACACACCAACTGACGTCACACACACCAACTGACGTCACACATACCAACTGACGTCACACATACCAACTGACGTCACACACACCAACTGATGTCACACATACCAACTGACATCACACACAACTGACACACACATACCAACTGACACACACACCAACTGACGTCACACACACCAACTGACGTCACACATACCAACTGACGTCACACACACCAACTGACGTCACACATACCAACTGACATCACACACAACAACTGACACACACACACCAACTGACACACACACAAACTGATGTCACACACACCAACTGACACACACATACAACCTGACATCACACACACCAACTGACGTCACACATACCAACTGACGTCACACACACCAACTGACGTCACACACACAAACTGACACACACATACCAACTGACGTCACACACACCAACTGATGTCACACACACCAACTGATGTCACACACACCTACTGACGTCACACACACCAACTGACGTCACAAACACACCAACTGACATCACACACACCAACTGACACACACATACCAACTGACGTCACACACACCAACTGACGTCACACATACCAACTGACGTCACACACACCAACTGACGTCACACATACCAACTGACGTCACACATACCAACTGACATCACACACACCAACTGACACACACATACCAACTGACGTCACACACACCAACTGACGTCACAAACACACCAACTGACATCACACACACCAACTGACACACACATACCAACTGACGTCACACACACCAACTGACGTCACACATACCAACTGACGTCACACACACCAACTGACGTCACACATACCAACTGACGTCACACATACCAACTGACATCACACACACCAACTGACACACACATACCAACTGACGTCACACACACCAACTGACGTCACACACACCAACTGACGTCACACACACCAACTGACGTCACACATACCAACTGACGTCACACATACCAACTGACGTCACACACACCAACTGAGGTCACACATACCAACTGACATCACACACAACTGACACACACATACCAACTGACACACACACCAACTGACGTCACACACACCAACTGATGTCACACACACCTACTGACGTCAAACACACCTACTGATGTCACACACACCAACTGACGTCACACACACCAACTGACGTCACACACACCAACTGACATCACGCACACCAACTGACGTCACACATACCAACTGACATCACACACACCAACTGACACACACATACCAACTGACGTCACACACACCAACTGACGTCACACACACCAACTGATGTCACACACACCTACTGATGTCACACACACCAACTGATGTCACACACACCAACTGACGTCACACACACCAACTGACGTCACACACACCTACTGATGTCACACACACCAACTGACGTCACACACACCAACTGACGTCACACACACCAACTGACGTCACACATACCAACTGACATCACACACACCAACTGACGTCACACACACCAACTGATGTCACACACACCAACTGATGTCACACACACCAACTGACGTCACACATACCAACTGACGTCACACATACCAACTGACATCACACACACCAACTGACGTCACACACACCAACTGACGTCACACATACCAACTGACATCACACACACCAACTGACGTCACACACACCAACTGATGTCACACACACCAACTGATGTCACACACACCAACTGACGTCACACATACCAACTGACGTCACACATACCAACTGACATCACACACACCAACTGACACACACATACCAACTGACGTCACACACATCAACTGACGTCACACACACCAACTGACGTCACACACACCAACTGACGTCACACACACCAACTGACGTCACACACACCAACTGATGTCACACATACCTACTGACATCACACACAACTGACACACACATACCAACTGACACACACACCAACTGACGTCACACACACCAACTGACGTCACACATACCAACTGACGTCACACATACCAACTGACGTCACACACACCAACTGACGTCACACATACCAACTGACATCACACACAACAACTGACACACACACACCAACTGACACACAAACCAACTGATGTCACACACAGCAACTGACATACACATACCAACTGACGTCACACACACCAACTGACGTCACACATACCAACTGACGTCACACACACCAACTGACACACACATACCAACTGACGTCACACACACCAACTGACGTCACACACACCAACTGATGTCACACATACCAACTGACATCACACACAACTGACACACACATACCAACTGACACACACACCAACTGACGTCACACACACCAACTGACGTCACACATACCAACTGACGTCACACACACCAACTGACGTCACACACACCAACTGACGTCACACACACCAACTGACGTCACACATACCAACTGACGTCACACATACCAACTGACATCACACACACCAACTGACACACACATACCAACTGACGTCACACACACCAACTGACGTCACACACACCAACTGACGTCACACATACCAACTGACGTCACACATACCAACTGACGTCACACACACCAACTGATGTCACACATACCAACTGACATCACACATACCAACTGACGTCACACACACCAACTGACATCACACACATCAACTGACACACACATACCAACTGACGTCACACACACCAACTGACGTCACACATACCAACTGACGTCACACATACCAACTGACGTCACACACACCAACTGATGTCACACATACCAACTGACATCACACACAACTGACACACACATACCAACTGACACACACACCCAACTGACGTCACACACACCAACTGACGTCACACATACCAACTGACGTCACACACACCAACTGACGTCACACATACCAACTGACTGACATCACACACACCAACTGACACACACACACCAACTGATGTCACACACACCAACTGACACACACATACCAACTGACGTCACACACACCAACTGACGTCACACACACCTACTGACGTCACACACACCTACTGACATCACACACACCTACTGACGTCACACACACCAACTGACGTCACACATACCAACTGACGTCACACACACCAACTGACGTCACACATACCAACTGACGTCACACACACCAACTCACGTCACACACACCAACTGACGTCACACATACTAACTGACGTCACACATACTAACTGACGTCACACATACCAACTGACGTCACACACACCAACTGACGTCACACACACCAACTGACACACACATACCAACTGACATCACACACACCAACTGACGTCACACACACCAACTGACGTCACACATCACACCAGGGAGAGGCCAGGACCAAATTCAAATGTAGTACCACCAAAAAGGTATAGAGGGCGCCACACAGACGGTTTTAGGCTCAAAAGTGAGATTTTATATAATTTGCACTAAAATGTCAATCAAAATGGAGCGACAGTGGCTACGTTGGTTGAACTTGAAGGTCGTGGGTTCGAGCCCATTATGAGACCTATTTCACGACTCCCACTGATGTTTGCTGTTGTTGTGTCCTTGGGCAAGACACTTAACTCCACTTTGCCTGAAGCCTCTGCTGAAAGATCTCAGCTCCTGTGGACTCAGCACCTGCAGGAGGATCAGTGAGGGGCTGGGGCAGACTGCCACCCCTGGCCCAGAAATGGATTAAGGGGAAGAAGAAGGATGGATGCACGTCAAATGACCAGGAAATGTAGAGAGCACTACGAGAATATTCTTGTATTTCCCTAAATCACAACAGCATCATCTCAGAGACTAAACAAAACCATTGAAATCAGAGAATCAGCAGTTTATGAGTTAAAAAAGTGAATTTGGTGTTTCCTTCACATTGGGAGCTGCCTGTCGCTGCGTGTCCCAGGGCCTCAGCCAAATACCACAGAGCAGATGAAGTCCCACTCTTTATACAGTCTGACAGTGCAGCAGGACTCTCTCTACAGTCTGACAGTGTAGCAGGACTCGTTATACAGTCTGACAGTGTAGCAGGACTCTCTCTACAGTCTGACAGTGTAGCAGGACTCGTTATACAGTCTGACAGTGTAGCAGGACTCTCTCTACAGTCTGACAGTGTACCAGGACTCGTTATACAGTCTGACAGTGTAGCAGGACTCGTTATACAGTCTGACAGTGTAGCAGGACTCGTTATACAGTCTGACAGTGTAGCAGGACTCTCTCTACAGTCTGACAGTGTAGCAGGACTCGTTATACAGTCTGACAGTGTAGCAGGACTCTCTCTACAGTCTGACAGTGTACCAGGACTCGTTATACAGTCTGACAGTGTAGCAGGACTCTTTCTACAGTCTGACAGTGTAGCAGGACTCTACAGTCTGACAGTGACTCACAGACTTGAAATGCAGGTTTTGCTGTTGTTTTTAACACTGAGCTTCAGTGAAAGAGCAGCAAGCATGGAGCACAGGTCCCAGGTGAGCTACAGTACTCTTACTACAGTCTGACAGTGTTAAAGTACTCTTACTACAGTCTGACAGTGTTAAAGTACACAAGTACTCCTACTACAGTCTGACAGTGTAGCAGTACTCTTACTACAATCTCTGTTCTCTGGTTCAGATGGTGTTATGTGTGTTGTGTGTGTTGTGTGTTCACAGACAGTGGTTCATCGCATTGACAGTGTGAGTTCAGGAGAGCAGCGGTACATTCAGGAGAGGAAGCTGAAGGCGGCTCAGGCTCTGACTGCACTGGGATTCCCCTGCTCACAGGTACCACACATTACTACTCATAGGTACCACACATTACTACTCACAGGTACCACACATTACTACTCATAGGTACCACACATTACTACTCATAGGTACCACACATTACTACTCATAGGTACCACACATTACTACTCACAGGTACCCCACATTCCTGCTAACAGGTACCACACATCCCTGCTCACAGGTACAAAACATTCCTGCTCACAGGTACAAAACATTCCTGCTCACAGGTACCACACATCCCTGCTCACAAGTACAAAACATTCATGTTCACAGGTACTACACATCCCTGCTCACAGGTACAAAACATTCCTCCTCACAGGTACCACACATCATCTACACACTAACATGGTCAAAGTTTTAAGTTTGAAGTCATGGCAAGTTCATTTATATATTACATGAGTTCATACAAAACAATCAGACTTTAACATCATAAATAATCACAGTTCATTAAAAAGATAAAGATAAAATTTAGACATTGTCAGAGAAGAAGAAGTCTGTCTCACTATTCAGGAAGACTGTTACAGTCTTTAGCATAAATCTCTGGGTCCAGCAGGAGGCCAGTCCCTGTGCTCCTCAGAGTCCCAGCAGGAGGCCAGTCCCTGTGATGTCTGAATTTGTTTGTTTGGCACACCTTTTTTCACCAGGGAAAACCAGGTGAAAACACGTTCTTTACAGGTCTGTGTTTGCAGCTACAAGTGAACAAATCAAATGTCGCCCTCTGGTGGTAGCACAGGGAAAGTGCAGACTGATTAAGCCTGCTATATCTCAAAGTATCCCCTGCTGTCCCTGGTGCCGCCTGCTGTCCTCTAATGTCCTCTGATGTCCCTGATGTCTCCTACTGTCTCCCCGATGTCCCCTGATGTCTCCTGCTGTCTCCCTGATGTCCCCTGATGTCCCCACAGCAGGAGGTCCCTCACGTGGCTCTGCTGGCCTCTGGGGGAGGACAGAGAGCAGCAGTGGCTCTGGTCGGATCTCTGCATCAGCTGCAGAAGGACTCACTGTTGGACACACTACTGTACCTGGGAGGAGTGTCTGGATCTACATGGTACACACAGACACAGACACACAGACACACACACACCCACACCCACAGACACACACACACAAACACACACACCCACAGACACAAACACACACACACGCCTCACTGTGGCATTTGTTCTCAGAGGTCTCCCATCACAGAACTACCCAGAGCTTGGAGCATTAAAACAAATGAACTACAACATAATTTCTGTAAAAACTTTGCCTCGAGTGAAAACCAAAATTACTTTCACATATGAGTCTAAATCCAAAACTCATGAACCCAAAAGTGTGTCCGGCCTCCTGCGAGACCATTTTGTATCCAACAACAAAGGGCTGACTCTGTCCCTGTGCTCCAGGACCATGGCTGACTCTGTCCCTGTGCTCCAGGACCATGGCTGACTCTGTCCCTGTGCTCAGGTCCATGGCTGACTCTGTCCTTGGGCTCCAGGACCATGGCTCACTCTGTCCCTGTGCTCCAGGACCATGGCTGACTCTGTCCTTGGGCTCCAGGACCATGGCTCATTCTGTCCCTGTGCTCCAGGACCATGGCTCACTCTGTCCCTGTGCTCAGGTCCATGGCGTCCCTGTACAGCGACCCGGACTGGAGCCAGTCCCTGGGGGCCCACATGGCGTCCCTGGTCTCGGCTCAGAACGTGGGACTGGACCAGACTCTGTCCTGGGTCCAGGACATGGCTCAGAGAGAGGACTTCTCCCTCACGGACGTGTGGGGAGCTCTGACCTCTGCTGGTATCATGAAGCAGGTACAGCACTTTACACATGCACTTTGTTCAAGCACTATACACGTGCACTTTATTCAAGCCCATTATACGTGCACTTTATTCAAGCCCATTACACATGCACTTTATTCAAGCACTTTACACATGCACTTTATTCAAGCACTTTACACATGCACTTTATTCAAGCCCTTTACACGTGCACTTTATTCAAGCACTTTATTCAAGCCCTTTACACGTGCACTTTATTCAAGCACTTTACACGTGCACTTTATTCAAGCACAGGTGCACTTTACACATGTATGTGTGTGTGTTACAGTGGGACACCAGGAAACTGTCAGGTGAGGCTCAGAGAAACGCCTCTAACCCGTATCCTGTTTACGGAGCCATCGAGAAGAGGTGCTTCAACCAGGGGCCCATCCAAGGTACAGCAGTGATATCACACAGTGTTAGGGACCTAAGGCCTGGTTATGTCACACAGAGTCTGTCTGACCCTGTGGTCTGTCCCTGTGCTCTGTCCTTGTGCTCTCTGTCCCTGTGCTCTGTCACTATGCTCTGTCCCTGTGCTCTGTCCCTGTGCTCTCTGTCCCTGTGCTCTGTCCCTGTGCTCTCTGACCCTGTGCTCTGTCCCTGTGCTCTCTGTCCCTGTGCACTCTGACCCTGTGCACTCTGACCCTGTGCTCTCTGACCCTGTGCTTAGTCCCTGTGCACTCTGACCCTGTGCTCTGTCCCTGTGGTCTCTGACCTTGTGCTCTGTCCCTGTGCTCTGTCCCTATGCTCTGTCTCTGTGCTCTGTCCCTGTGCACTCTGACCCTGTGCTATGTCCATGTGCTCTGTCCCTGTGCACTCTGACCCTGTGCTATGTCCATGTGCTCTGTCCCTGTGCACTCTGACCCTGTGCACTCTGACCCTGTGCTCTCTGACCCTGTGCTCTGTCCCTGTGCTCTGTCCACAGGGAGCTGGTTCGAGCTGAGCCCTCATGAGGTGGGCTTCCCGGAGCTGGGAGTGTTCGTGGAGACCTGGGCTCTGGGAAGTAAGTTCCAGAACGGAACCATGAGAGAGGAGCTGCCGGAGCTGGACATGATCCAAGTGCAGGGTACGGCACATTAAAGGAGATATGTGTAAATACAAATTTTCCAGGTCACAATATTGTTCCTCATTGGTCACACACCTGGAGTTGTTTTTAGATCCATCCACGCTAATATCAACTTCATGCCAGTATGACATCACTGTACCGCTATGACATCACTGTACCACAATGACATCACTGTACCGCTATGACATCAATGTACCGCTATGACGTCACTGTACCGCTATGACGTCACTGTACCGCTATGACATCACTGTACCGCAATGATATCACTGTACCGCTATGACATCATTGTACCACGATGACATCACACTCAGACAAACTATTACCCATAAATAAGTTTTGGTAAATTCTCCAGTGACATGAGTCCAGTGCAACTGTGTTTCTGCTGCTACGCCGCCCTCTGGTGGTAGCACAGGGACAGCGCAGGCCAAGAGTATTTTCTTTACCTTTCATACTTCAGTAAGTAATCTTTAGTGTTCTACCTTTTATTTTCTCCTAAAGATATTCTGTCACACATCAAAAGACAAAAGCAAACGCTACAGCGTCCCTCAGGACTCTGTCCAGTTTAGTCGCTGTCGGACACTTGTTTATGTCAAAGACCAGTTTGTTTTGCTTCATCAGCTGTTTGTGTTTAATCACAAATGAAAACCTGCGACTTATGCTGAAGTACCGCAGATATGTCGACACAAAGACTTATTTTTAAAATATACCTGGTGTAGTTTATTTAAAGGTTTATAAACCCGTCTGTAGTCTCAGGATAAACTCAGTCCTTCTTCCGGGACCTGGGCCTGAACTGCTGTGTCTGCACTTTGTTGTGATGCTGCGGGTCTTCACTCCAAACACAGATGGTGCTGTGTCTGTGCAGGTATTCTGGGCTCTGCTATCGCTAACCAGAAGATGGAGGAGAACGTCCCACCCTGGCTCAATGGTACGTACTGTCACACTGGTACATGAGACACACTGAGCACAGGGACCAGAGATACACTCAGCACAGGGACCAGAGAGACACTGAGCACAGGGACCAGAGACACACTGAGCACAGGGACCAGAGATACCCTCCGCACAGGGACCAGAGACACACTCAGCACAGGGACCAGAGACACACTCAGCACAGGGACCAAAGACACACTCAGCACAGGGACCAGAGGTACACTCAGCACAGGGACCAGAGGTACACTCAGCACAGGAACCAGAGATACACTCAGCACAGGGACCAGAGATACACTCAGCACAGGGACCAAAGACACACTCAGCACAGGGACCAGAGATACCCTCCGCACAGGGACCAGAGACACACTCAGCACAGGGACCAGAGACACACTCAGCACAGGGACCAAAGACACACTCAGCACAGGGACCAGAGGTACACTCAGCACAGGGACCAGAGGTACACTCAGCACAGGAACCAGAGGTACACTCAGCACAGGAACCAGAGATACACTCAGCACAGGGACCAGAGATACACTCAGCACAGGGACCAGAAATACACTCAGCACAGGGACCAGAGACACACTCAGCACAGGGAACAGAGATACACTCAGCACAGGGAACAGAGACACACTCAGCACAGGGACCAGAGACACACTCAGCACAGGGACCAGAGACACACTCAGCACAGGGACCAGAGACACACTCAGCACAGGGGCCAGAGGTACACTCAGCACAGGTATATGTTAATTGTTCTCTTCTTTAATATAAATATTCTATTCATTTATTTTTTTATTTTCTCTTGTTTTTTATTTTAATGTGCGTGTGTGTGTGTGCGTGTGTATGTGTGCACATGTTTGTGTGTGTCTATGAATATAAATACAGAGCCTCTCAAAAGTAATAATCCACCTGAACTGTTAATTGATACTAAAGTGTGTCTGTACCTGTGTGCAGTCCCTGAGCTCCTGGACGCCGCGGCTCAGGACTATCTTCCAAGCTACAACACCATCAGGACCTTCATCACTGTGAGCCGCTCTCACCTCACCAGCGAGACCGCGAGGAGCCACCTGGACCAGCTGGAGGCTGCGCTCCAAGGTACCGCTGCTCCATGCTTTTCCCTGAAGCAGAAACACACTGTGAGCTCAGTGCTTAGTGGTACCGCTCCATGTGGACTGTGTACCTATGTATGTGTTTGTTATCATTATATTTCCTGTGTTTGGACTGTCTGATTCTCTAATCTGTTGTTGGTGAATCCACAACTTAGTAAAGTCTGAGACGACTGCTGCTGTGGGCGATGTCTCAGACTCTGAAGCTGTAATGTCTTTATGAGACACAGAGACGCTGACATTTGGACAGAGTTTTAAGGACCAAAACCATCTCCCATGATGCACCTGGAGCAGCGTGTGGTCGTGACCCTGAGCCCTGTTGTTGCAGAGAGAGTGAACCAGGACCAGTCCTCCCTCCTCCGCACCCTGTCCCCACAGCAGCGACAGCAGCACTTCCTCAGATGGAGCTCTGAGCTGGGAACAGTCATCCAGGAGTGGTCCCAGGGTCTGCCACAGGGGGGCGCCAACACTCACCGTGAGATACATACATATATATATATATACATTTATATATACATAATGTATATATAAAGATGACTATGAATAAATATTGCTTAATCTAGAGTAGGGTAGAGTAGAGTAGAGTAGAGTAGAGTAGAGTATATATAATAAATGTGTGTTGGTATATAAAGATCACTATGAATAAATATTACTTAATCTAGAGTAGGGTAGGGTAGGGTAGGGTAGGGTAGAGTAGAGTAGAGTAGAGTAAAGTAGAGTAGAGTAGAGTAGAGTAGAGTAGTGTAGAGTAGAGTAGTGTAGAGTAGAGTTGAGTAGAGTAGGGTTGAGTAGAGTAGAGTAGAGTAGAGTAGAGTAGAGTAGAGTAGAGTAGAGTAGGGTAGAGTAGAGTAGAGTAGAGTAGAGTAGAGTAGGGTAGAGTAGAGTAGAGTAGAGTAGAGTAGAGTAGAGTAGAGTAGAGTAGAGTAGAGTAGAGTAGGGTAGAGTAGAGTAGGGTAGAGTAGAGTAGGGTAGAGTAGAGTAGAGTAGAGTAGGGTACAGAAGAGTAGAGTATATATAATAAATGTGTGTTGCTTCCAGTGTCTCTGTTGGTGAATAAGGTCCTCCCCCTCGTCCTGCGCTGGGAGTGGGGGACACTCAACAACTTCCTGTATCAGTACAACGGTATGTCCCCCCACCCCCTCTGCACAAACACTCTGCTTTCAAACACTGCACTCTATAACTGCAGGCTGTGTGTGTGTGTGTGTGTGTATTTGTATGTTTGCGTGTGTGTGTGTGTTGCAGAAGTATCCATCCCCTCCTGTCTCTCTCTCTGTGTGTTGCAGAAGTATCCATCCCCGTCTGTCTCTCTCTCTGTGTGTTGCAGAAGTATCCATCCCCGTCTGTCTCTCTCTATGTGTGTTGCAGAAGTATCCATCCCCGTCAGTCTCTCTCTATGTGTGTTGCAGAAGTATCCATCCCCACCTGTCTCTCTCTATGTGTGTTGCAGAAGTATCATCCCCGCCTGTCTCTCTCTCTCTGCGTTGCAGAATTATCCATCCCCGCCTGTCTCTCTCTCTCTGTGTGTTGCAGAAGTATCCATCCCCGCCTGTCTCTCTCTCTTTGTATTGCAGAAGTATCCATCACCGCCTGTCTCTCTCTCTCTCTCTCTGTGTTGCAGAAGTGTCCATCCCCGCCTGTCTCTCTCTCTTTGTATTGCAGAAGTATCCATCCCCACCTGTCTCTCTCTCTGTGTGTTGCAGAAGTATCCATCCCAGCCTGTCTCTCTCTCTCTGTGTGTTGCAGAAGTATCCATCCCCGTCTTTCTCTCTCTATGTGTGTTGCAGAAGTATCCATCCCCGCCTGTCTCTCTCTATGTGTGTTGCAGAAGTATCCATCCCCGCCTGTCTCTTTCTCTCTCTCTCTCTCTGTGTTGCAGAATTATCCATCCCCGCCTGTCTCTCTCTCTCTCTGTATGTTGCAGAAGTATCCATCCCCGCCTGTCTCTCTCTCTTTGTATTGCAGAAGTATCCATCCCCACCTGTCTCTCTCTCTATGTGTGTTGCAGAAGTATCCATCCCCGCCTGTCTCTCTCTCTCTCTGTGTGTTGCAGAAGTATCCATCCCTGTCTATCTCTCTCTATGTGTGTTGCAGAAGTATCCATCCCCGCCTGTCTCTCTCTCTCTCTGTGTTGCAGAAGTGTCCATCCCTGTCTATCTCTCTCTATGTGTGTTGCAGAAGTATCCATCCCCGCCTGTCTCTCTCTCTCTCTGTGTTGCAGAATTATCCATACCCGCCTGTCTCTCTCTCTCTGTGTGTTGCAGAAGTATCCATCCCCGCCTGTCTCTCTCTCTCTCTCTCTCTCTGTGTTGCAGAATTATCCATCCCCGCCTGTCTCTCTCTCTCTGTGTGTTGCAGAAGTATCCATCCCTGTCTGTCTCTCTCTATGTGTGTTGCAGAAGTATCCATCCCTGTCTATCTCTCTCTATGTGTGTTGCAGAAGTATCCATCCCCGCCTGTCTCTCTCTCTCTGTGTGTTGCAGAAGTATCCATCCCTGTCTATCTCTCTCTATGTGTGTTGCAGAAGTATCCATCCCCGCCTGTCTCTATGTGTGTTGCAGAAGTATCCATCCCCGCCTGTCTCGCTCTCTCTCTGTGTTGCAGAATTATCCATCCCCGCCTGTCTCTCTCTCTCTTTGTATTGAAGAAGTATCCATCCCCACCTGTCTCTCTGTGTGTTGCAGAAGTATCCATCCCCGCCTGTCTCTCTCTCTCTGTGTGTTGCAGAAGTATCCATCCCTGTCTATCTCTCTCTATGTGTGTTGCAGAAGTATCCATCCCCGCCTGTCTCTATGTGTGTTGCAGAAGTATCCATCCCCGCCTGTCTCGCTCTCTCTCTGTGTTGCAGAATTATCCATCCCCGCCTGTCTCTCTCTCTCTCTGTGTTGCAGAAATATCCATCCCCACCTGTCTCTCTCTCTGTGTGTTGCAGAAGTATCCATCCCCACCTGTCTCTCTCTCTCTCTGTGTGTTGCAGAAGTATCCATCCCTGTCTGTCTCTCTTTATGTGTGTTGCAGAAGTATCCATCCCTGTCTATCTCTCTCTATGTGTGTTGCAGAAGTATCCATCCCCGCCTGTCTCTCTCTATGTGTGTTGCAGAAGTATCCATCCCCGCCTGTCTCTCTCCTTGTGTGTTGCAGAAGTATCCATCCCCACCTGTCTCTCTCTCTCTCTGTGTGTTGCAGAAGTATCCATCCCTGTCTGTCTCTCTCTATGTGTGTTGCAGAAGTATCCATCCCTGTCTATCTCTCTCTATGTGTGTTGCAGAAGTATCCATCCCCGCCTGTCTCTCTCTATGTGTGTTGCAGAAGTATCCATCCCCGCCTGTCTCTCTCTCTCTCTCTCTGTGTTGCAGAATTATCCATCCCCACCTGTCTCTCTCTCTCTCTCTCTCTGTGTGTTGCAGAAGTATCCATCCCTGCCTGTCTCTCTCTCTTTGTATTGAAGAAGTATCCATCCCCACCTGTCTCTCTGTGTGTTGCAGAAGTATCCATCCCCGCCTGTCTCTCTCTCTCTGTGTGTTGCAGAAGTATCCATCCCTGTCTGTCTCTCTCTATGTGTGTTGCAGAAGTATCCATCCCTGTCTATCTCTCTCTATGTGTGTTGCAGAAGTATCCATCCCCGCCTGTCTCTCTCTGTGTATTGCAGAAGTATCCATCCCCGCCTGTCTCTCTCTCTTTTCTCTCTCTCTTTGTGTTGCAGAATTATCCATCCCCGCCTGTCTCTCTCTCTATCTCTCTGTGTGTTGCAGAAGTATCCATCCCCGCCTGTCTCTCTCTCTCTCTCTCTCTCTCTCTCTTTGTTGCAGAAGTATCCATCCCCGCCTGTCTCTCTCTCTCTCTCTCTCTCTGTGTTGCAGAATCATCCATCCCCGTCTGTCTCTCTCTCTCTCTCTCTGTGTGTTGCAGAAGTATCCATCCCCGCCTGTCTCTCTCTCTTTGTATTGCAGAAGTATCCATCTCCACCTGTCTCTCTCTCTGTGTGTTGCAGAAGTATCCATCCCCGCCTGTCTCTCTCTCTCTGTGTGTTGCAGAAGTATCCATCCCCGTCTGTCTCTCTCTATGTGTGTTGCAGAAGTATCCATCCCCGCCTGTCTCTATGTGTGTTGCAGAAGTATCCATCCCCGCCTGTCTCTCTCTCTCTCTCTCTGTGTTGCAGAATTATCCATCCCCGCCTGTCTCTCTCTGTGTGTGTTGCAGAAGTATCCATCCCCGCCTGTCTCTCTCTCTTTGTATTGGAGAAGTATCCATCCCCACCTGTCTCTCTCTCACTGTGTTGCAGAAGTATCCATCCCCACCTGTCTCTCTCTCTCTCTCTCTGTGTGTTGCAGAAGTATCCATCCCTGTCTGTCTCTCTCTATGTGTGTTGCAGAAGTATCCATCCCTGTCTATCTCTCTCTATGTGTGTTGCAGAAGTATCCATCCCCGCCTGTCTCTCTCTCTCTCTCTCTCTGTGTTGCAAAATTATCCATCCCCGCCTGTCTCTCTCTCTCTCTCTCTCTCTCTCTCTCTCTGTGTGTTGCAGAAGTATCCATCCCCGCCTGTCTCTCTCTCTTTGTATTGAAGAAGTATCCATCCCCACCTGTCTCTCTGTGTTGCAGAAGTATCCAGCCCCGCCTGTCTCTCTCTCTGTGTTTTGCAGAAGTATCCATCCCTGTCTGTCTCTCTCTATGTGTGTTGCAGAAGTATCCATCCCTGTCTATCTCTCTCTATGTGTGTTGCAGAAGTATCCATCCCCACCTGTCTCTCTCTCTCTGTGTTGCAGAAGTATCCATCCCCACCTGTCTCTCTCTCTGTGTGTTGCAGAAGTATCCATCCCCGCCTGTCTGTCCTCTCAGCAGCACCTGCACCTCGTGGATGGGGGTCTCCTGGTCAATGTGGGGTACCCCTCGTTCTTGGGACCGCGACGAGACATTGACCTCATCATCGCCCCAGAGTACAGCGCAGGGGACATGTTTGAGGTAGACCCTGTCCCTGTGCTCTCAGACCCTTTCCCTGTACTCTCAGACCTTGTACCTGTGCTCTCAGACCCTGTCCCTGTGCTCTCAGACCTTGTACCTGTGCTCTCAGACCCTGTCCCTGTGCTCTCAGACCCTTTCCCTGTACTCTCAGACCTTATACCTGTGCTATCAGACCCTGACCCTGTGCTCTCAGACCTTGTACCTGTGCTCTCAGACCCTGACCCTGTGCTCTCAGACCTTGTCCCTATGCTCTCAGACCCTGACCCTGGCTTGGGACTATGCAGCCTCTGTACAGAAGTCTTTCCCGGTGATCTCAGACCCTGACCCTGTGCTCTCAGACCTTGTACCTGTGCTCTCTAACCTTGTACCTGTGCTCTCAGACCCTGACCCTGTGCTCTCAGACCTTGTACCTGTGCTCTCAGACCCTGACCCTGTGCTCTCAGACCTTGTACCTGTGCTCTCAGACCCTGACCCTGGCTCGGGATTATGCAGCCTCTGTACAGAAATCTTCCCCGGTGATCTCAGACCCTGACCCTGTGCTCTCAGACCTTGTACCTGTGCTCTCTAACCTTGTACCTGTGCTCTCAGACCCTGACCCTGGCTCGGGACTATGCAGCCTCGGTACAGAGGCCGTTCCCGCCTCTGGACGAGCAGCTAATGCAGAAGGAGAAGCTGTGGCCCCGAGACTGCTACGTGTTCGAGGGAAACGGGACCGCCCCCACCGTGGTCTTCATGCCTCTGTTCAACCAACGCAACTGCAAAGGTACGACAGCAAAGGTACGACAGCAAAGGTACGACAGCAAAGGTACGACAGCAAAGGTACGACTGCAAAGGTATGACTGCAGAGGTACGACAGCAAAGGTACGACTGCAGAGGTACGACAGCAAAGATTTTATACAATCAGTCCTGGTCTCCTCCTGGTCCCCTTTCTCCTGGTCACTCCTGGTCTCCTCCTGATCTCCTCCTGGTCTCCTCTCTCCTTGTCATTTCTGGTCTCCTCCTGGTCTCCTCCTGGTCTCCTCTCTCCTAGTCACTCCTGGTCTCCTCTCTCCTGGTCATTCCTGGTCTCCTCTCTCCTGGTCATTCCTGGTCTCCTCCTGGTCTCCTCTCTCCTGGTCATTCCTGGTCTCCTCCTGGTCTACTCCTAGTCTACTCCTAGTCTCCTCACTCCTGTCTCCTCCTGGTCTCCTCCTGGTCACTCCTGGTCTCCTCACTCCTAGTCACTCCTGGTCTCCTCACTCCTGTCTCCTCCTGGTCTCCTCACTCCTGGTCTCCTCCTCTCCTCAGACCCAGAGGAGTGGTCCCAGAAGATGGAGGAGTTTTCCACGTTTCAGAAAAGCTTCAACTCCGACATGATCCTGAAGCTGCTGCAGACGGCACAGGAGAACATCAGGAACAACAAGGAGACCCTGCTGAAGGAGGTGCACAAGGCTCTGCAGAGGAGGAGGAGCAGGGGAGGAGCAGGACAGGGCTCTGCAGGGCAGGAGGAGCAGGGGAGGGGTGGGGACTGAGGAGGAGGAGCAGGGGAGGAGTAGGACAGGGCTCTGCAGGGGAGGAGGAGCAGGGGAGGGGCGGGGACTGAGGAGGAGGAGCAGAGGAGGGGTGGGGACTGAGGAGGAGGAGCAGGAGGAGGAGGAGCAGGGCCCTGAGGCTTAAGAAATCAAAATGTGTATTTGATTTATAAAGCACTGTGCTTCATGTAGGAACTGTGCTAAACAAATAAACTTGGCTGATGTGCATCTGTTGTATTTATTATTGTGTTTGTGACAAATAGAGACAGTGTTTCTGTTTCTTCTGAGGCTCAGCTCGCCTCTCCACAGATCTGACTGGTGCTGCTGGTTTCCATGGAAATATTTCTTCAATAATTAATAATATAAACCCAGAGTGAAGATGAGCTGGAGCCACTGTCCTTATATGGGCGTCCAGGACGACACACTGTCGCAGGAGTGGAGGAAACTAACCTGTTGCTAAGATGGTAAGAAGGTTGCTAAGATGGTTGCTAAGATGGTAAGATGGTTGCTGAGATGGTTGCTAAGTTGCTAAAATGGTTGCTGAGATGGTTGCTAAGTTGCTAAAATGGTTGCTAAGATGGTAAGATGGTTGCTAAGATGGTAAGATGGTTGCTAAGATGCTAAGATGGTTGCTAAAATGGTAAGATGGTTGCTAAGATGGTTGCTAAAATGGTTAGATGGTTGCTAAGATGGTAAGATGGTTGCTAAGATGGTTGCTAAGATGGTAAGATGGTTGCTAAGATGGTTGCTAAGATGGTAAGATGGTTGCTAAGATGGTTGCTAAGATGGTAAGATGGTTGCTAAGATGGTTGCTAAGATGGTAAGATGGTTGCTAAGATGGTAAGATGGTTGCTAAGATGGTTGCTAAGATGGAGTCTTCCTCACGGCTCACTGCTGGATTTACAAAGTCCATTGTTGGAGACGGAATAATCAGAATCATCAGAATCATCAGAATCATTGGAATCATCAGAATCATTGGAATCATTGGAATCATTGGAATCATTGGAATCATTGGAATCATTGGAATCATCCGAATAATCAGAATAGGAGACATTAAAATAATAAAAACAACAGTTCATAAAAAGGAAATCCTTCAGTTGTGGCTTAAACCACCGTCTGTGACCTGGATCTAAAGCAGGTCTTTATACACCTGTACCTGTGATCGGACGTTTACAGTCTGTCTGACACTCAGTACCTGTGAGCTCACGTTTACAGTCTGTCTGACACTCAGTACCTGTGAGCTTACGTTTACAGTCTGTCTGACACTCAGTACCTGTGAGCTCACGTTTACAGTCTGTCTGACACTCAGTACCTGTGAGCTCACGGTTACAGTGTGTCTGACACTCAGTACCTGTGAGCTCACGTTTACAGTGTGTCTGACACTCAGTACCTGTGAGCTTACGTTTACAGTCTGTCTGACACTCAGTACCTGGGCGGCACGGTGGCTGAGTGGATAGCACTCTCGCCTCTCAGCAAGAAGGTCCTGGGTTCGAATCCCGGTCGGACCAGGGCCTTTCTGAGTGGAGTTTGCATGTTCTCCCCGTGTCTGCGTAGGTTTCCTCCGGGTACTCCGGTTTCCCCTACCACTAAAAACATGTCCAATAGTTCTGGCATGCGCCTCCTGTACTGGCGACCCGGCTCCCATCTCTGTGTGGAGTGAGAGAAAAATGCCCAAAAAATTAACAATTGTAAATCGCTTTGAGACTCAGATCTGCAGTGAAAAGACGGTATATAAATAAAAACTTACTTACTTACTTACTTACTTACTTACCTGTGAGCTCACGTTTACAGTCTGTCTGACACTCAGTACCTGTGAGCTTACGTTTACAGTCTGTCTGACACTCAGTACCTGTGAGCTCACGTTTACAGTCTGTCTGACACTCAGTACCTGTGAGCTTACGTTTACAGTCTGTCTGACACTCAGTACCTGTGAGCTCACGTTTACAGTCTGTCTGTCACTCAGTACCTGTGAGCTCACGTTTACAGTCTGTCTCACACTCAGTACCTGTGAGCTCACGTTTACAGTCTGTCTGACACTCAGTACCTGTGAGCTCACGTTTACAGTCTGTCTGACACTCAGTACCTGTGAGCTCACGGTTACAGTGTGTCTGACACTCAGTACCTGTGACCTCACGGTTACAGTGTGTCTGACACTCAGTACCTGTGAGCTCACGTTTACAGTGTGTCTGACACTCAGTACCTGTGAGCTCACGTTTACAGTCTGTCTGCCACTCAGTACCTGTGAGCTTACGTTTACAGTCTGTCTGACACTCAGTACCTGTGAGCTCACGTTTACAGTCTGTCTGACACTCAGTACCTGTGAGCTCACGTTTACAGTCTGTCTGACACTCAGTACCTGTGAGCTCACGGTTACAGTGTGTCTGACACTCAGTACCTGTGAGCTCACGTTTACATTGTGTCTGACACTCAGTACCTGTGAGCTCACGTTTACAGTCTGTCTGACACTCAGTACCTGTGAGCTCACGGTTACAGTCTGTCTGGCACTCAGTACCTGTGAGCTCATGTTTACAGTCTGTCTGACACTCAGTACCTGTGAGCTTACGTTTACAGTGTGTCTGACACTCAGTACCTGTGAGCTCACGGTTACAGTGTGTCTGACACTCAGTACCTGTGAGCTCACGGTTACAGTGTGTCTGACACTCAGTACCTGTGAGCTCACGTTTACAGTGTGTCTGACACTCAGTACCTGTGAGCTCACGTTTACAGTCTGTCTGACACTCAGTACCTGTGAGCTTACGTTTACAGTCTGTCTGACACTCAGTACCTGTGAGCTCACGTTTACAGTCTGTCTGACACTCAGTACCTGTGAGCTCACGTTTACAGTCTGTCTGACACTCAGTACCTGTGAGCTCACGTTTACAGTCTGTCTGACACTCAGTACCTGTGAGCTCACGGTTACAGTGTGTCTGACACTCAGTACCTGTGAGCTCACGTTTACATTTTGTCTGACACTCAGTACCTGTGAGCTCACGTTTACAGTCTGTCTGACACTCAGTACCTGTGAGCTCACGGTTACAGTCTGTCTGACACTCAGTACCTGTGAGCTCACGTTTACAGTCTGTCTGACACTCAGTACCTGTGAGCTTACGTTTACAGTGTGTCTGACACTCAGTACCTGTGAGCTCACGGTTACAGTGTGTCTGACACTCAGTACCTGTGAGCTCACGGTTACAGTGTGTCTGGCACTCAGTACCTGTGAGCTCACGTTTACAGTCTGTCTGACACTCACTACTTGTGAGCTCACGTTTACAGTGTGTCAGTAAAGATGGCGCCTGTGTCTGGCTGCGCGTCGCTTACCTGTCTGCTCTCTCGTACATTTGCAATCTTTCTTGTGATGTTCCTTGTGTCAACCCTATCAACTACCAGCTATGTTTCCGCCATCATACAGTATGATCGGCACACATTGTTCCGCATTAAGGCTCATATGCAGGACTTTTGCATTACCCGGCACAGATTCTCTGAGTTTTTCCCTCCAAAACTGGAGCGCCATGCGTCACCACCGGAATACCCGTTGCTTACCCGGCGCCGCGGAAGGAGAAGGAAGCGTGGATCCAGGGCTGGGGTCCAAGTCCGGAGGAGAAGGTGGTCATCGCTTGGATCTTCACCCGGGCTGAACGGACCCAAATCTCCCAGGAGTGAGCGGTGCCTGAGGCCGGTTCCGGTCTGCGCGCCAGTTCGGGACGCGGCTTGTGTGTCATCGCTCGTGTGGAGCACCTCCGACCGGCTCTTTCCCACCCGAGCTGTTTACCATCATGCCCCCCGCCAGCGCGTCTTGTGCCCGGTTACCTGCCAGACCGATCATGCCATCCAGCCCGTCCCAGGCCAGCCCGCGTCACGGATGCGCGCCACCAGGATTGCTCTTCTCAACGCGCGCTCTATTGCAAACAAGGCGTTTACACTGAACGACCACTTCACTAAAGAGAACTTGGATTTTATGTTCATAACGGAGACTTGGCAACGGGAGAACGAGCACCTTCATCTGAGAGAACTATGCCCCCCGGACTGCTCCGTGTTTGGGAGTCCTCGCCTCGCGCGCCGTGGAGGCGGACTGGCGCTGGTTTTTCGTGACTCTTTCTGCTGCAGTTTGATGGATGGAGCTTCATACGACTCCTTCGAGCTACAGATGTGCAAGGTTGGACAAACTCTCCCCTTTTACTGTGTCTTAGTTTACCGACCTCCGGGTACTGCGCGCACATTCCTTGATGAATTCTCTGAGTTTTTAACATCCATTATCAAACTAGATCGCGTTTTAGTCCTTGGGGATTTTAATCTCCATATCGACGATCCCTCTTGTGTGATTGCAGCTGAACTGTTAACGACCATGGACTCTTTCAATTTTGTACAGCACGTTTCTGGCCCCACGCACATAAAAGGTCACACGCTAGATTTGGTCTTCTCATGTGGCCTAAACATTGAAAATATGAGTGTTGATGCATTTCATATTAGTGACCACTGTTGCATTTCCTTCACTCTGTCACGCGTCATGATGCCAACTGTCTCCAATGTTGTTACACAAAAACGCATCATTAGTGAGACAACATTTAGTGATTTCTCTGTCCGATTTGACCCTCGCTCTTTTGTTGTTTGTGATGATGTTGATTCGTTTGTGCAAAGTTTCAACAGCCACTGTGTGTCTATTTTGGATTTGGTAGCACCTGTTAAAGATATTTCAGGATCACATAAAAAAGCCCATCCATGGATGAATGATGACATTTGTAGTTTTAGGAGAAAATGTCGGAAGACAGAGCGTCTTTGGAAAGCCACCAAATTAGAAGTACATAGACTTCATTTAAAAGACCTGATGCTGGAACTGAATGAAATGATAAAGCAGGCTCGCTCATCTTATTTTTCAAACCTTGTGTCAGGCAATAAGAAAAATCCAAAAATCCTGTTTGACACCATTGAAAATCTTTCTGCACCTTCAGCTCCTCTTGTGCCTGTGTACTCACATGAGGACTGTAATAAATTTTTGTCATTCT